CCCCCTTTACTTTTTTTTATCTCCCCCATGCCCCTTCCTTCTGGCAATCACCATATTGTTGTCTGTGCCAATGAGTTTTTTTGTTTCTTTGCTTAACCCCTTCACTTTTCTCACCAAGCTTAGATGTCTTAATGCATGAATCTCTCATGCTTGGTTGTGAGTTGAGCAGGAAATCCTTCAAGGAGAGAGACTGAAGGGATATCTCACATCTACATTCCTCTAATGTCTTCATCATCTATCTTAATCAATGGCATTAATGATTTTATAGGCAGCAAGGACACCTGGTCACCTGGTCATCTAAACTGAAAACCCAGCTCCTTCCTTTCTCCCTCAGTCTTACATTTTTAATAATCACCAAATTTTGCCACTCATCCTTTCAAATATTTCTTGAATCTATCCTTCCTTTTTTTACCCCCACTTCCCTGAACCTAATTCAAACCATAATTATCTCTTACAAGGTTGATTTAACAGATGTCTAATGGGTTTCCCTGTTTTCACTCTTACCACCTTTGATTCTGTTATCTCCCCTTCAACCAGATGCCACAGTATCATCCCTTAGATTCACACCCTCATCCTAGCACTGTCTGCTTCCTGGAACCTAACCCATGTCCACAGCTCCTACCTTGTCTACAGTTTCTCCTACACACATTCTATGCTCCAGTCAATCTGTGGACTCTTCCTTACCTTCAGAACTTTGCATATTTTCTCTGCCTGGATCACTCTACCAAGCTTCTGCTACTTATCAGTTAGGTTCGCCTCTTCCAGGAAGCCTTTCCTATGTTCCACAGGCTTTCTGGGCTGCTCTTCTGTGCTTCTTTGCCTCTCTGAGCTGACTTCAATCACACTCACATACCCACTAATTTATCTGTTTCTCTCTGAAGGCTATAATAAGATCTTTTTGGACAGGGATTGTGTTTTTGCAACTTTATCCAGTACCTAGTACTTGTTGAATAAACAAATTTAAAAAATCACAATGAATGCTTCAGACCCTCTCTTGTGAATAAATCCTCAAATTTAAAATTTAGTACAAATTTTAGTCAAACTTGGTGAAAAGCCACAAAATCCTGCCTCAGGGGCTTTTCACTTGCTCTTCCCACTGTTTGGATTATTCTTCCTCCAATATTCCCTTTGTTTATTCTCTTACTCTCTCAGTCCCTATTTATCAGAGAAACCTTTCCCAACATGTTATGTAAGATAATTCCCCATCATTCTATTACTCTTAGTTTTTTATCCCCCAAAGTGGTTATCACCACGTGACATGTCACATAGTGTTTAAATGTATCCCCCTTTTAAACATAAGCTCCTCACCAGCAAGGTCTCTGTTTTAATTACTTTCTGTTTTCTTGCTGCATATGGAAGTCTTGCCTTGAATTTATGCTCAAAATACCTATTAAATATTGAGCTGTATAACTGATAGAAAACAGAAGGAAAGAAAAAGAAAAGAAACAGAGGAACAAAAGAATAAATGTCATTTTTTCCCCTGGATCTTGTTTTTGGCCCTTGTTTTTAATTTTATTTATGTTCTGTTATACCTGTGTCAGAAAATAATGAATCTGCACATGATCCAGACAGGCACAACTGGCCATGGATTGACTATAAACAAGGCTAGTCCCAGTATTGTTCTCCTATGCAAAACTTTTATGTAAAGGCAGCAAGCTTGAGAATTTGGTGTGTGTTTGGGTGTGATAAGAGGTCCCTAACTCAAGATATGCTGTCCCTGCAGGCTCCAATTGCTGATACACATGTGTAGCTTTCCCTGGGATTAGAAGGCTCTAACAATGTGTCAGGGCCTTAGTTTTTCCTGGAAATCCACAGCTGGAGTCCATGGAAGCAGCTGGTGTAAAGGCAGATATTTCCCATCAGCATCAGTTTTCTTTCACTTGGCAAAGAAGTCCAGATACCTTTGCAATGTCTGGGTTTCCTGGGCCTAGTGACACCTTGGTTCTCAACTGTGCTTCCAAGAATCCTCCAGGAAGCCCCCCTTGCAAAACATTCACTTCTAATGGGGTTAATGGGTCTGTTCTCTGCTGCTGCTGCTGCTGCTGCTGCAGCTCTGTAAAGAAGTCTACATCTTCTGGAATTGGCAGGGTGAAGTGCAATGGAGGGAGGGAGCCCTTGGAATATACCACATACATTACCTCTAAGGATTGTGAGACTCCTGAAGGCAGGGACTGCATCTGTCTGATTAACCAGTGTTCTGTCAGCACCAAGCACAGTGCCTAGCACATTCTGGGTACTCAAATGTTTCTGGAAAAGTGAATGAATCCTGTGAGGGTATCATTACTATCCCTATTGTATAAGCAGTGCCCCCCTGCTGTACCCTCCATTTCTGCAAAGCCTGGTGTACTTGTTAAAATTCTCTTTCTGCTGCCAGATCTTAAGCTCCAGAAGTGTAGGGAGTGTGTCAGATTTGTTCATGTTTTAATTCCAGCAGTTAGTGCATGGTAGAGTCTCAGCAAATATTTCTTGAATAACTAATGAACAATTGGATGAAAAAATGCATAGATGAAGCTTAGAGACATTGTGTATTTTATCTGAAGTCATACAGCAGAACCAGAGTTCACCAGACTGTGAACTCCATTAGGCAGGGATGGAGTCTGTTTTTTTTCACCATGGGATCCTCAGCACCACAAACAATGCCAAGTAAAGTAAGTGCTCAATAAATATTTGCTGAATGAAAAAATGACTTCACTGACTGAGCTTTTTTAATTATTAATTTGCCATACTCTTTAATAAGACAGGGGCCTCATGTGCAAACACATCACAAGTCCCATTTTTGGAGAAAACAGCATTTAAAGACATAGGCTGTTTATTTTTGGTAACAGATTAACGGGGAGAAAATAAGAGCAGGCTCAATGAAGTGTGAGCCCCCTTTCTGCATCATCTCCCCAGCCAGCAGGATGTGACTTGTAGCCACAAAGCACACAATTTTCAGCTGCCAATCATGGAGATATCAGGATCGAGGTAGCCAACAGAAGCAGAGGCAGCCCAACCTTCAGGAGCCCTAAAAAGAAAGTGATTACAGGGCCACTAGTAGCTCTGATGTGCCTTTGTGAAAAACTAGTTTAGGATGCCTTTTCTAGAGTAGCCAGTCAGGAAAGGACACCCTCTCTGGGTTGGTCAGTTAGAAAAGGAAACTTTCTCTTTCTCTTTCTCTTTTTCCAAGAATCAATTGGAAAAGATGTCAATATGGATAGAAAAATAGAAGACAGTACCCTCTCAGGGGGTCAATTTGAAGAAGACAGCCTTTCCTCTGGCACTAGGCTTGGTATCCCATCAAAGAGCAATCTTGTGTAGTGTGCAACCTACTCCACCACCTTTGTGATCCTAGGATATTCACAAAAGACAGGCATCTCTGGACCACCTTGACTTCCCAGCTTCTAGCTTACAGGTACTAGGTTGAACTGACTCAGGTCAAACACTAGGTTGGTGAAACTACCTCCTTGGATCTAGATGCCAGGACACAAAAAGGGCAACAGTGATGAGGATTCATCGAGATCATCAGACAACTCAATGGCCATAAAAATCAAGGTCCATAAGAATGGCACCAGTCCCTGGTCATTGTGGCCAGAGGAGCAGAGAAGCAAAGAAATGGAGAAATAAGGTTCCTTTTTTGTGTTGTGCTCATCCCAGAACTAAGCATGGTGCTTATTATGTAGTACCACTCAACACATATCTCTCATTTGTTAAATGATTCCTAAAGAATATGTTAGAGATGAGCCATGGAATTTCCCCAAGTTGAAGATCTAGAATTTGTTCATGTCTCTTGTGAACAGATCTGCAACAAATATGTGTATATCTGTACATGCATCCATGCAACTTCAGCTGTCTGTATATCTAAATATGCAAATATGAAGGCAGGCATGCATGAAACCTTATGTGCGTGAGCAAACATGTCTGGACCATGCATGTCTTTGTATGTCTGTATGTGCATGCCTGTGCTGTGTGCACATGTGTATTATTGTGGGATAGCACTGGTATATGTGCATATGTACAGCTTCAGGTCCAGGTGTTTCCATAGATACAGTTGCTTCTTCAGAGCTGAGGCCTAGCAGGCTGGCACTCCAGCCCACCTTGGGCCCACAGATAAAAGCCCTGGAGTAAGGTTCTGGTGCACGTCCTTCTTAAAGAAGACATAAACTTCCCCAAGTTTCTGGGAGCAGCTCTGGAACTGTGGCCTGGGCACCTGTAAGGGAGAGAGAAGGATCAGCACAAGGAGAAGGCATGTGGTGGACAAGAAGCCTGGGAGATACTCCACTCAATCTTCTCTTCTCTTTGCAGCCAAAGTAGTCTTTCTGAAACCCCAATCTGATCATGTCCCTGAAAGGTTCATGATCTCCAACTTACTTGCAGGAGAAAAGCCCTAAATCTTAACAAGAACTACAAGGCTCACCTGCCTCAGCTCACATTCCCTCCTCTTCTTTCTGGCCTGCATGGATTTCTCTCAAGTCCTCTAGCAGGCTGGAACCCCCACCACAGGCCCTTTGCTCATTCTCTATCCTATGCCAGGGATTCCCTCCCTCCTTCCCCCTTCCATGACCTCTTCAATTAGTTATCCCTCTCAATTTCCAAAACTCAGCTCCATTCTTATCCAATCCTTTAGAGTGGGTCTTGTTCCCCTATTGTAAGAGCTAAAAATTCCTAATGTATTTTCTTGATGGTATTTAATAAAATTGCAGATCTATATCTATTGCTGTCTGTCTGTCTATCTATCTATCATCTATCTATCTATCTATCTAGATTCTGGTCCATAAGCTCCATGTAAGCTGGGCCCATATCTATTTTTGCTGGCACATAGTAGGCACAAAAACATGTGCAATGAATTAATGAATGAGAACTGGTAACAGAAAGCATATAGTTCACCTCACCCCAAAGAATCTACTTGCTCCAGCTCTTCAGATTCTGATAAAATCCCAAGCACCTGGTTCTGTCCTCCTTCCTTATCTCTGGAAAACATTCCCTGCTGGAAATTTGGGGGTATGAGTGACCCTCTTACCTTTTCACATGATGGGACCCAAGTTCAGGACATGAGATTGGTCTATGATGCCCTTATTGTACAATCTGGTCCTGGGGCAGGTCTGCAGGGACAGAGCAATAAAGAAATTTTCTATGAGGGAGACTGAATGTACCTTGCCAAGGAAAGGCAGTTACACCCCTCAGAGAACATCCCTTCCTCAGGCTTGGGCTCGAAGCTGGGTGAGGCAGGAGTCATCAGGATACCTGACTTCATGCCCATCTCTACCATTTGTTAAATGTATGCCCTTAGGAAAGTCACTTAAATTCTCTGGACCTTTCTCCTCACTAGAAAAAATGACTAGCAGAATGCTAACTTCACACAAATAAGGTGCATGGGGTGCTTTAAAGTGTTAGCTTCTGTTATTAGAAGACAAACTTGCAGATAAGCCAGAGCTGGTACCAGCCTATCATCTTAAGTCTCCTACTAGCCATATCTTGTTGCTCAGAGAAACACAGCAGAAATGTTTGCTTATTGTTTTAGACCACCTTGTGACCACATGTCCTTGGTTTGGGAGACTGGCGAGGGGAAGGACACAGCAAGCAGTCTGAGAGAGAGGAGGTGACTCACAGGTTTGCACTGTTCATTTACGATATCACAGAGATACACTTTACAGTGCCCGTAGGCCAGGTCATGGTTTCCCACAAAACAAAACATCTGGACAGAGAATCGATCCTGAGGTGAGTCCCCATTCCCCAGCACTTGGAAGGTTGAATCCTCAGTACATGGGCATTTGAGATATTTATAGCAGATAACACGATTGGTTAAACTAGCACTCTGGGGTCCGACTTCTTGGGGTCAAGTCTTAGTCTGCCACTTTTGACCTTGGACAACTTAATTAATCTCTATGCCCCAATTTCCCCCTTTGTAAATAGGAAATAATAATTGTAACCCATATCATAATGTAGTTGTGAAGATTGAGTTCATTTTTCAAAGTATGCAGCACACAGTAGGTGCAACATATTCATGCCTCTAGAATAAAAAATATCATTGGAATAGAGTTGAAACTGACCTAAAGTTAGCCCATTCTGATTTTCCAGGAAACAGCATTCAGGAATAATTAGTTATATTTATTGGCTGTCTACTATGTACTTGATATTAATTATGACAATGGCAATTTCTGAGTCCTGAGGGTCACTAGCCAAGCACCAGTGTGTGCCCATCTATATGCATGCATAATTACACTAAAACATGCTTACAAACAGAAACTGAAAATTTCACAGGCAGAGAATCCTGTGTGTGCTGGACTGCATTGGGATATATGGGCAGGTAAATTGGGTGGCTCCCCTCATCCCACCCCACAGTTCAGAACTGATTTAGAAAGTGTAAATTGCACTTGGTAAAATAAAAGCCCTGTGGTTAAGGGCACTCATCTCCTGAATGCCACAGATTGTGGTGTCTAGCATGGCTCTTGGCAGCCCTATGCACTCAACCTGAGCAGGGCCTCCAAGCGTCCCCTCTAGCCACTTTCATTGTCTCTCCATCTGGTCTCCTCCTTATTAGTCCTGTGGCATTCTGACACCTTTCCTAGACTAGTGGTGTTCAACCCAGCTCCCACAATGACCAGGCAGAAGAACACAGGCGTGCCCAGACTTTCTTCCTGCTAACTTTTCAAAACCTTCCAAGTTTTCCACATGTACAGTCTGCTCCTCTTCTAAATCAATTTTTGGTAAAGATACCCTTGAATTTCATCCATGGGTCTTACTTGCCCTGGATAATAAAGTACTTCAAAGGGTCTGTGGTATTGCCACTGGATGTGGCATAGCAGTTGGTCATCAGCAGTACAAAGCAGGACAAATTGCCCCCATCCCACGTGGTGCCCACATAGAGAAAGGTGTTGGTGGATAGAGTAACAGTGGAACCTTGGTAAGGCTGTGTTTAGTCAGAGCTTTGAAAGAGGGCCATTTTCTAGTGAACATTCCTATTCCACCCATGCTGATATTGAGGGTACTGCAGGAGGAAAAGATGTAGTAAGAGAGCCAGAGCTGAGAATAGCAACAGATGAGCTACCTTCTCTAGTCTGGTTCCCGGGCAGTCACTGGCAGTTCTTTGCATTTTTATACAGGAGTAGTACCCACCAACCATTGGTTTGTAAAGTGTAGTGTGTACAAATGGTCACCCTGGGATCTTGCTGAGCTGCAGATTCTGGTTTGGTAGGTCTGGGGTGGAGGGGCTCAAGGTCCTGCATTTCTAACAAGCTCCCAGGTGAAGCTGAAGCTGCTGGTCCACAGACTACATTTTTGGTAACATGCCCACCCCTTGGTGGCCCTTGTCTTCAGGATGTGCAGCAAATAAATTCTCAAGGGAATCACCTAGGTTCTTTCTTTGTCCTCACCTTGGAAATTTAAAAAGATGGGCTATGAGCCCTATAAGCCTAAGTCAGGGTTCTGGCTCTACTTACAGCAGAAAATTGGGGGAGGAATTAAATGGGTTATTTTTAATCCTGTTGAAAACAACCATAGTCATACAAATTTCATAGGATAATCCCTCAAAGGACACTTCAAGACCTATGCCCCAGGAAATAAGGTGCATGAGAAATACTCAGTAACGTGAAATTCCATTTCACAGGTAAGAACTGGGTTATCAGTTTAGACTCAGAGTTGGACTGAGGCAAGAATTCCAGCACATACCAGAGAGAGATCTGTGCATAGGTGTGTTGCTCCTGGGTGCCTACCAGATCTGGGACGTGGCCACATTGCTCCAGGGCACTGCTTGGCCAGGTGATGTTTCACCCAAAAGAGATTTCTTCCCCCAGGCATGTTGCTCACCAGGACCCAGTGCACTTCTCTAAGTATGGTTGGTCCAAAGAACATACAACCACAATCAAGCTTCAAAGTGAAGGTCATAATAGAGTGGTATTTGGAGCCTGATGGCCTAAGTTTGAATTCTAGCTCTGCCACTTACTAGTCTCTGCAACTTTGGGCAAGTTAGTCAACCTTCTCTGAGCTCCCATATCCACACCGCACAATGGTAATAATAATCATACCTACACCCCTTAAGGTGTTCTAAGAGTACAATAAGATGCATTATGTAGAGCACTGAGCACAATACCTGACACACATTCAGCTCTCAGGACATGCTTATTACATATTTTTTAGCTTCAGCATTATTGTCCTGTGATTCATCCTATTCAGAGATTTTTAATTTCATTAAACAACAGAGCTTTAATATTTTCAACAATAAAACCTCATTTGGTACCTAGTATGGGTGAAACTTATGTGTTTCATGCCACAAGCACTCCAAGGCACCTCCTTAAAGACTCTCAAGCTCCAAGAAACATAATTCATAAATCCCTCTTTAATAAACTCCTATTATTTACAGAGGAAAAAAAGAAGCCGAGGTTGAAATGTAGAATATGATTTCCCAAAATCCCATAGCAGGTCTGGCCTGAGAGCCTCCCCTTCTTCCCTCCAGTCCAACCACACTGCCCCTTGGATAAGCCACAGAACTTAATATTTAATTCACATCTGCAGAGCATTATTGCACCTTGAAGAAAGGCAGTATAGTTTTGCAAAACCCATTTCATGGATAACAAGACACCCAAAATAGGGCTATCAACTTCCCAGAGCTATCTGGATTTGGATCTGAGCTCCAGACTTCCTAGCTGGGTTCCTCCAGTGAACAACACCATCTCCAAGTTTCCTCATCCAGTTCCCTGTGGGAGGCAGTTGACAGAGAAGCTGAGGGCTTGGTGGTTAAGGGATTGTAGGGGGCAGCTGGACAGGGGCACTGGGGACCCTCTGTGGCCACACCGGATCATTGGCTGCAGGTAAGACTTCAGGCTGACTTTCATGTCCAGGGGTAGAAGAACCCAAATTTGATGCTGCTGTTGACATCACAAATGATGATATCATCTGCCAGATACTTCTGCATTGTGGAAAAGGTAGGGGAGGGAGGTGAGAAAAGGCATGAGAAGTAGGCATTGAAGTAGGACTGTAAACCAAAAGAGTTTTTTTTCTAGTCACCTGTGAACTGCTCTCCCAGCTTTCATGATCAAAAGTTACCACAGCAACCTTTTGTTCTTTTATGAGCACATGTACGTGTGAGTCCCTGGGCTCCTCCTCCATCAGTGCACTAGAACTTTCCATGACCCTACCTTCCTGCCTTGTGCTGAGGAGCCAGAGGTTCATAGAAACTGAGTAACTTGCCCATAGCACATAGGCTGTAAAAGCCTGAGCTCTTCCTCCTATGCCATGTTTCCTCTCTCAAACATTAAAAAGGCTGAAAACCATGTGTCTAGTCATTATTAATGGTGGAATTTCAAGTTAGTTAATTTCTTCTTCCTTTTTTTTTTGCCTTCTTTCTTTTTCTTTAGGGGAATGGAGGAGGGGAGAGAGAACACTGCTCCAATCACACATTGAGCTCTGAGTCTTTGTGGAGGTTTCTGTCTTAGTTTTCCCAACACCACTGATGTTGACCCTGCCTCCCAGGACCTCCAGGAACAAACAAATCTACTTCTGAACCCAGTGATGACACCAACTGGATGAGAATAATCACTGCTTTGGTTAGGCCCTACTCTTCCCTTCTGTAAAATGGGGAACTATAACCATGCATCACCCTCTTTATTTGAAGCTAACATTTGAATACTTACTATGTGCCAGTCACCACCCCAATCACTTCATACACATTGACTTATTTTATCCTCTTAACAACTAAATGAAGTAGGTATTAATATTTCTCCATTTACAATGGACAAAACTGAGGCACAGCTAGTTATATAACTCACTCAAGCTCATAAAACTAGTAAGTGGTAGAGCAGGAGTTTGAACCAGGCAGTGCTCTAACCCTGTCCCTCACTGGCCAGGACTTACCATCATTACTGTCTCATAGGGGTCATCCCTGGCTGGGGTCACCACATCCAGACTCAGTCACCCCTTTCAAGGAAGCCTGAACATGGTAGTCATGTAAGTACATGAAGACCTTCTCAAAGTGTAAGCCCTGCACTCCAGCCTGTGCTGCAGGAGAGAGAGATCTGAAATGGAAAGGGAAGGCAGGATTAGAGATCTGTGACCACAATTCAGAGGTCCAGCACATCCCCAGAGCCCAGGCCCAGCAGGCTGGTCTAGCCACCAGCTGGAGTGCTCAGAGCAGCCTCCCTTTGATTTTGCTGTGGTCTCATCTTCAGAGTGTTGGAGACATGAGATTAGATTCTAATCTCACTGGATGGATCCAAGTGGCCAAACTTCAGTACCATGTTATTTTAAGTGTGGGGTGCATACAAAAATAGAATGATTTTGGGGTCCTTCACTGTCCCACCATTAAATAACACTGAATCCTAGTAAAACAAAACAACAAACTCAAGGAGCTCATGAGTTGATAGCAATTTCTGCCCATCCTTTCTACATCAAGGAGACTAGCTGCTAATGTTTTTGGTGCTGTATAATTGTTAATTTTCCCTTTAGAACAACAGAGCACAGACCTCAGGCTAAGTGTCTGTGGCATGCATGACATTTGGGTGGATTTTTTAAAACATTTTTTATGGGAGTATTATAAAGCTGTTGGAATTTAACAACTTTTTTCTTTGTATTTTTTTTTACTGTTACTTTCTACATAAAATACATGTTACTTGCCATACATAGGTGTAGTGGTGATCATTAACAATGCAAGTTCACTTAGAAGAAGAAAGATTTAATCAATTTGAAGAAAAATAAGTGAATAATAAAAATCACAGTATAGATAGTACTTGGATAAAGCAAAATTGTAAAGTTGGTATGTAGTAACAAAAATCATGACTGAAGTTTGGGAACTACTATCTACTTCAATCATTGTGTATATAGGGAGGAGGCTTGGAGATGGTCAGGATCTTGCTCACTATCTTGAGCTGATCATTGGAGGTCTGAGCTCAAGAAACCACAGGCTGGTTGCCAGTCTTGCATTCCATGCTGCAGGAATATGGCTCAGGTAGCCTTTGGCCAACAGGTGACATTAGGAGTCTAAAGAAGGCTGGGGGTGAGGTGAAGCTCTGGGAGTTTGTGGTCAACTAAGCAGAGATTCTGGAAGCCCAGAGAGCTTCTTGCTGGTTTTAATGCATATTACTGAACTGGCACTTATGTATCTCCTAGGTTATCCACATACATCTCAGCTCACACACAGGAATGTGTCCCTCCCCTAGCTGCTGACATTTCTCAACACCTATCCCCTTTCCACTGTCCTCACCGCTGCCATTAAAGTGCTGCTTGCACTGGCAGCCCCATCTGCCATTATCCGATATGCAGTCTTCTATCCTGCACTCTTCACACGTCTCCTCCACGGAGCTGGGATTTGCAGGATCACAGTCACACAGACACTCAGCAAGGATGAACCCCAGTATTCCTCAGTGCTCTTCAGAGATGCGGTTTAGAGCTGAGGGGAGAAGCCTGCTCACCTGTGCGGTAAGCTAGATGGCATTTGGCGGGGTGGAATGGGGCTTGGTCAGGTTGTAGACATAGTAGCCACCTGGCGCAGGTCTTCCCTTGAACTGGCGCGTCCCACAGGCATCAGTCCCCACTCCAGTGAGCACAGGCCCTGCGGGCTCACGATGCCCTCACAGTTGGACAGGTGAGTGCCATTGAGCCACAAGGGCACGGTTGTGTTGCAGCGCAGGACAGGCACGCAGGTCTCAGCCGGGCGCCCGCTGCCCTGCCCCACAAAGTGGTACCAGCCGCGCAGGTTCCTGTCACAGATGTAGCCCGCACCGTGCTTGGTACTGCGCCAGTACTGGTCCAAAGTGCAGTGCACCTGGCATGGGTTGGAGCACAGGAGCGCCTCTCCCTAGGCCATGCAAACAAGCCCTGGCCCAAAGGTGCCTGAGGAGCACTCACAGCGCCGCCTGTCCCCTCAGTAGTCCTCAGGGTTCACGCAAGAGTAGTTACCCTGGCTGTTGACACAGGTGGCCAGGGCATGGCAGCTGCTGAGCCCTGGCTCCGCGCTCTTGTCCACATCTGCACAACCGAGCCCAGGCCAGAGTCGGAAGCCCTGGGCACAAACACACATGTAAGAGCTCAGCGTGTTTAAGCAGCTGCTGTTGACAGAGCAGTGTGGGCATCAGGGGTGGCACAATCGTCTAGGTCCACGCACTCGAAGCCATTGCCAGTGAAGCCCACCTAGCAGGAGCACGTCATGGCAGCCCCATCTCCCATGCAGGTAGCATTGCTGTGACATTCAGAGCAGCTTACTGCAGACAGAACAGCCCAGCCTCAGAGTGGAGGCAGCTGGGCCAGATGTCACCCAGAGATTCTCCCGCTTCCTGGAGGGTACCTGTGTTCTTTAACGCTTAGTTCCGAGACGACCCCCTTCCAAAACAAATAAAACCCCTGTGATGATGTCCACATGTCACTTTTAAGCTGTATCTTAAAATATCCACATTCCCATATTCGGAATAATGCAGGGTTCTTGACATTTCCTTAGGATTTAAGTGACTGATGCCCCCCTTTGCCCACATTTGCACATTTTATGCCCTTTAGCCCAGTCTCCTTTGTTTCCTGGTAAACCTTCATTAAGACTCTGTTCACTGTTGCCTCCTCTCTGAAGAGTCTCCCAACTTCTCTTGGGGGTGGCAATCACACTTTGGGCAGTCACATTTTGTGTTTCTCCATTACAAAAATAACAATAAAAATAATGAGCTGTCATTTATCAAGCACTTACTAAATGCTGCTACTAAATGCAGTCTACACTGGTATTTGCACTTTTCATTCATTATATGTTGAATCCTCACCCTAGTGGCCTGTGAGATCACTTTTGTATTCAGCCTTATTTTAAAGATGAAACCCAGGTTCAAAAGGCTCGAACTACTTGTTGGTATGCAGCAGAGCCAGGACACATCCAAGTGGCAGTACCACAGAATTTGTGTGCTTTTAACTATGTCATCACACTGGTATTTACTGTGCCCAAACTACCCCAGCTGCCTTCTTCAGGGAGAAGCTGAAAACAGAATGAGGGCATTGCTCAATCTGATGGAATGACCTCATAAGTGAAAGGCAAGGTATTAGGGAGACACCTGGGTATTTTCAAATCTCTTGTGTGACTGAGCATGTTTCTGACCTTCCAGTAAAGTGCCAGGGGCTTTAGTGGTGTTCTAGACTCCCACCTCTCCATGTGTGGTCCAATGACCACAGCATCAGCATGACCTGGGCGCTTACAGAGATGCAGAGTCTCGGTCCCTACTATTCTTGAGTGAGTTCTGTGTACATTAAAGTATAAAAAAGTGCATGTATCATTAAGATTCTCTTTAACAGAGCCAAATCAAATTATAGTTAAACATTTTAAATACAGTATACAGTTGGCTTATAATTTCCCCTCATGTTAATGAAGCTCTTTCAAATATTTCTAATTTTTTAAATCTAAGTGTGGGTAATAGTTTTTACTAATGGTTTAACACCTTTTATAGGTTAAAAGCCTAAGTGTGTTGGTTTTGATGAAAACTGTAAGTTATAATAAATCTATTTTTAAGTGTAAAAATGCACTTAAAATAAAAGTTATTTGAATCCCATGTGTGACAGGAGAAGGATGGAGACACTTCTGCAGAGGATGGTATTGCCCCCATCCCCAACACACACACACACACACACACACACCACCTACTTGCTTCCAAGGAGTCAATAGCTTCAGTTATAATGACCACCCAAGAGATTACCACCACCATCATCTGCATTGAAGTCAGAGCAAAAAGCCGTCCCATTTTTTCTGGTCTTCCTTCACAGCTACTTCTAGTTAAGAGAAGACTTGTTCAAAGGCAAGGACAAGTAAACCCCTTGTGGTTTCTTTCCCTGATGCCTAAAGTTCTATGAATAGAGATGGGTGAGACAAATGCATGTTCTGACTGCTCTCACCAGAGCCAGAGAATGCTTTCGATGTGCACTGTATAATTCCAGGAGATGTCATGTGTATGAGCTACAAAAATTGTGCAGTGCTGTAGCCCTTGCTTTGGTGGAGTTTCCCTCTCTGTGATCTCACTCTTACTCTTACCCACTTCCCAGCCTTGACTATCTCAGTCTTGGTTCATTTAAAAAAACTGAGTGTTATTTATGGCTGATATGGCTTAGTGGATTGAGTGCCAGACTGCAAAGCAAAAGGTCTCTGGTTCAATTTCCAGTCAAGGTGCATGCCTGTGTTACAGACCAGGTCCCCAGAAGACAGCATGTGAGAAGCAACCACACATTGATTTTTCCCTCTCTTTCTTCCTCCACTCCCCTCTCTCTGAAAATAAATAAATAAAATCTTTAAAAAGAAGAACCGAGTGTCTCCTTTGGAACAGGAAGCAGTAAAATGTTCTGAATTCATCACTTTACTGGAGGTAGCTTTGATTTTTAACACTCAATTCTTGATCTCCTGCGGAGAAACTTTCAAGATGTCCAGATTCATTCATTCATTTAGCAAACATTTATTGAGTAGCTACTGCATGTAAAACACACCAAGAAAAACAGTGAACAGAACAGATAATGTCCCTGACCTCAAGCAACTCACATATTGTAAAGAAGTGACTTAAGAGGTGATTAACCTTCACAAGCATTGTAACATTTTGAGAGTGGTCCCTTATTTAATCCTACATGAGTACTACTATTACCGTAATTTTTGCAGCAGCAAAATTGGGTAGCATGGTGGTTATAAATATGGGGTTTGGAGCCTGCACCAGGATTCAAATATCTGTTTTGTCAGTCACTAGCAGTGCAACATTGAGCAACTCACTAAGACTCAGTTTCCTCATTTATGAAATAGGGATCATTGCTTCCACAAACCAAGTGACTATGATGAGCCAGGATATTTGAAGAAGTCCTCAAAAAAACTTAGGTTCTAGATTAGTGTTTCCTAAGCTTTTATGACCATGATCTGCTATAGAGGAGGTATTTTATGCCATGTTCCAGTGCATGTGCGTGCATTAGCACACACATGCACGTGCAAGCATGCGTGCCAAATAAAAGTTTTATAAAGCATTTCTTATCATTACTGTGCACATTGCTTGCTGACATATTGTATTTATTTAAAAGAAAATCCTGGATATAATCACAGATAATTTCATTACCTGCTAATGGTTTGATCTATAGTTTGAAAAATGCTATGGTGGGTAATAACTGAATACATATTGCTGTCACAGGTATTAACTAAAATGATATATGCAAAGCAGGACCCAGCACATTCCAACTACTCTTGTGCACTACTGTATCATTCCGAGTGCCTAGTACATAGTAGGCACTTAATATTTGATGAAGGTGTGAAAAAAGTCATAGTCATTGTAATTAGGAAATTGTAAGCTCAAAGAAAGGTAGATTGACTTACAAAGAATTGTGAAGCCAATAGGCAGCAGAGCGATGACTTAATCTAGGTCTGACACAGTGTTCAGTCTCTTAATTTTCTGTCCCTCCTTTCCCAAACAGAATGGAATCCAACAGAAGACTATGTAGGGGAGAAGTGACTAGGAGAAGAGAAACCTGCAGGTAGTCTTACCTGAAAGTAATCTGTTTACAAGTGTGTACTCATATATACATCTGCCCTTGTCTGGATTTCTCTTCTCCAATTATTCTACAGTTCTGTTTCTTGAGATTGTTTTCTTGGGGGGTGGAATATTTTCCCCTTTTGGCATAGTGTTTTCCGTTTCTAGGCTGTGAGATTGCTTTCAAATGAATGACACCCAGGGTGGGGGCAGTCACACTTTTGCCCACAAATACAAGACCTCTATTTTGCAACTTTTAGCACCCAGAGATTCCTTAGTTAGTAATTAACTGGGAAAGCAGCACCAAGGTACCAAGGTTTTTCTTGGGCGTTGACAAGAATGAAGTGGACCCAAGCACACAGAGGCCAGTATTTGAAGCTAGGCTGCTTCAGGAGAATAGTGGTGTTCATTACCCCCACTAGGACATGTACCTGTGACCACTATGGTTCCCTGTCATCCTGGAGAGGGCACCCTTCCGAAGCATCCAAATCTTCATGGGTCCTGACGTGAGCAGGAGAGGAGCTGAAAATAACTGGAAGTCAGAGGCAGAAAGAAATTCAGACATCATGGGACCAGGCCTATTTTATGAAACAAGAAATCTGAGTTTCCATGAGGGAAGGTTCTTTGGCAGTTGGAAAACTTCATGATCAAATTGGCTTTAGAGTCAGTCCATCTGAATCCTGATCAGCCATTTATTGCCTGTCCTTCTTTCTCACCCTCACTTACCTGCTTTCCACTTTTCTCTTAGCCACTGGAGTGTTATCATCTACTAGTTCCTTCTACAGATACCCTTTTTGGATCTCCACATTTCCTCCAGCCACCACCCAATTTTCCACCCTTTCACACCAAATGTCTCAAAAGATTTTCCTGCAAACTGAACACTTTAATTCACACTGATTTGCTTTCTGAACTGAAACTCTGTTGACATTGCTCACCAAGATCACCAAAGATAGCTTTATTGCCAAATTCAATCATTATTTACCTCTTTATCTTACTAGAGAAGTGCTCAAAAAATAGTTGCTTTTGAATGAAACTTACTCAGCAGTTTCTATTTTATTAAAAGTTTTCTTTCAACTTTTAAAAATGGGTTAGAGACTTGATCTTAGTAATTTTGATAGCTGTCACTGAGATCCTCTCTTGAGTAAGATACTGTGCCACGTGTTTTTACATTTCATTGTATGAAAACACAGGGACAGAGAAGATTGTAGTTCAGAGAGGTTGAGGCAGTTCCCCAAGTTTGCACAGTTAGCTAGTGTTAAATCCATACTAAAGCTCAAATGTCATTCATATATATCCCTATGATGTATTGCACTCCTTGGAGTGAAGAACATACTATGCCCAGTTATGAAAGAGACTTATAGGGATAAGTGGTTTTAGATCTTGAAAGAGTGAAGGTTTTAAAAAAAATTGATCAAATTTTACTTGAATAAGAATGAAAAAAAAGAACCATAAAAGTAAAGATCATTTTAAATAGCCAGAAGTTTCACATATTCCTAGTTTTTAAAAAAAGTTGAATTTTGACTAAAATATCATTTAATGTGTTGTTAAATCCTTTTCTGATTCTAACTCAGATTTTCTACACTACCACAGTTATCATGCTTATAATATGGGTATAATTTTTATATCCAACAGTGTAAATAAAGATTAGCATGACATAAAAAAAAGAAATAAAAAAATTGATCAAACTGAACACAACAAATTTTTGTAAGAGATGTGTGTTGGGAGAAAGCAGAAAGCTAGGGGAGAAGACCCTCCCAATTGAAGGGTATCATCTGGCCCACCTACATATCCTGCTCATCTCAATCAGAGTCCTCATTTCCTGAGGTCCCTGTTACACCTGAGGGACCTGCAGGTAGCATACATTATCCATCTTGTGATCAGTCAGACTCTGTTTCACATGATTTTTGTCCTAGAAGTCCCTATGTACCCTTCCTTCAACCAGAAGCCACATGGCCTTGAGGCTGAGGCAAGTGAGTTTTGCATCAAGTCACATGACCTTAAGGCTGAGGCAGGTAAGTCTTGCATCATGCCCTAAATACTAACACCTACCCCTTTCAGAACATCTGGCTCAGACAAGTTCCAAGAATCCCAGTCTGTTCCCTACCTCACCTGGATGTGAACAGGCCAGCTTCATGGTGGGAATGGTGCGGGAACTGGCTCTGGAGGCCTGAAAGAGCACAGACAGCCTTTGCCATACATGGCAGGTGAAAAGTGAAGAGACTTGGAAGGCTTGTAGAGATGTTGGTTCCTAAAATAATACACCCCTCCTCTTTCCACAAGAATGTCTATTATTACTTGGCTGAAACAAACGTCACAAATGAACAGCATGAGATTGTTTCAGCTGAATAATGATCTCCAAATATATCTATATCCTAATCTCTAGAACTGTGAAAAGGAACTTTGAGGATATGATTAATTTCAGGATCTTGGGATGAAAAGGCTATCTGGGCAGGCCTAAAGCAATCACAGTGGTGCTTCCAAGGAGATGAGGGAGGAATTAGAGCCAGAGGAATCAGGAGATGTGAAGGAGGAAACAAGAAATCAGAGTGATTCAAGGAAGAAACCATGAGCCAAGGAATGCTGGCTGCCTCCAGCAGCTAGAAAAAAACATGTCATGGAACTCTGCCAGAGGGACCAGCTCTGATGACACCTTTAGTTCAGCTGTTGATTTCTGGCCTCCACAGCTGTAAAAGAATACATTTGTGTTATTGTGAGCCACTAAATTTGTGCTAATCTGTCAGAGAAATATTAGGAAACTAATACAGAATCTAATGTGGGTATGAGGACACAACTGTCAGCACCTCTCCCTTTTTGGATGAGTGAAATCATGCGTCTCAGAGATAGAGTGCTGCTTCCTGTAGAAATTCATTTAATCCATGACTACTTATCAAACATCAGCTGTATCTAAGCAGAGTTCTAGGCTGGGGAATGCAGTGAGGAAGAAAATATAGGTCTGCTCTCCTGGGGCTTACATTCCAGTGGGTGATAGACTAGTGATCAGCAAAATAATGTGGTGTTTTCACATACAGTCATCTAGGAAGGCCTCTTGGAGGTGGTGATATTTGGAGTGAGATTTAAAGGATAAAAAGGACTCAGTTGCATAAAGATCTGGGGAGGATAGTATATTATGTGTGCATTTAGGCAGAAGAAATAACCACAAAGAGAGAGAGAATTTGAATTTTTCAAAAAATAGGCTGAAGCCTAGAAAATGAGAGGGAGGGAGTAGGAGATCTGTAGAATCAGAACTTTTC